GGTTGTCCCCAACTGACGTGATCACGTGACACTTTTTTGGGAAGATAAATATTTTTGTGTGCACCATGCTGCTAGAATCTTATGGACAACAATTAGTATAAATAATGTTTCAACTTACATTTCTTCCTCCTCTCCACTCTTCAGGGCATTCTTAGCAATGCATTGGAAAGCCTCCTCTACGTTGGTTCCTTCCTTAGCTGAAGTTTCAAAGTAGGGAATGTTACCCTTTGAAGCGCACCAGGCCCGAGCCTTTTTCTCAGACACCTAAAACAGAGCAGACAAGTATCTTTAAGTGAAGAAAAAGAATAAAATACCTCTATGGAAGCAAAGTTGTTCTCGGTATGAAACGATAGTAGTCCTATAGGCGGCTTACCAAAGAAATGAACAGGTGAGAGCAACAGACAAGGGAGCACAAAGAGGAAGAATTGGGACAATGTACAATTTGTTGGACCAGGAACTTACCACTCTACTGTTTCCACCATCAACATCAACTTTGTTCCCCAGCACGACAAATGGAAAGTTTTCTGGATCAGATGGGCTTGCCTGCAGAAAATTCATTCGGAGATTACAGAGTAGTTGTTCAACAAGAAAAAATAGTGTCAGGTACCAAAACAACTAATTTTATCATTTTTAACAACAATCTGTATGTGAGATCCTATGCAGAAAGATCAAAACAAGTAAATGGTGGCACCAACAAATACCAGTGGCTATAACAAAAGGGAGGAGCACTGGATTAGCAACCCAAGAAAGATGAAACATAACAAGCTCCAAGAGGGAAAAGCTCATTAAGCCTTCATCTAAGCCAGAAGCAAAATAGGGCTATAAGCCTATAAATAGTTAATAATGTGAATTGATAACAATAGAATCAAATAAAGAAGAAGTAACGGGTAAATAATCAGAGGGAAATAAAGAAGAAGTACAGGGTAAACAATCAGAGGCAAATAAAGAAGAAATACCTGAATTAAGAACTCTTCTCTCCAGTTGTTTAAGTTTTCAAATGACTTCATTGAATTTACATCATAAACAAGGACACAACAATCAGCACCGCGGTAGAAAGCAACACCAAGACTCTGAAATCTCTCTTGGCCAGCAGTGTCCCAAATCTGGACAACCAGAAATATCAAAGTTAGAGCAGGAAACGGGCCAGGTTGAAATATCCATGAGTAAAACATTAAAACTGGTAATACAACCACCAACTACCTCTCCCCAATACCAAACCTAATACATGCAGATGTTTGGAATTACGACATCATTTTCAAGCTGAAAAACAATAGAGCATGTTTCTAGATATCAAACTTATAAGAACCAAAGAGTAAATTTGAGAGAGAGATGGAAGTCTTGACCAAGTGAGAAGTGAATTGGATGCACCATGAGTTCTCTAGATTGGATATTTTGAAAAACAAAAAAGATATCTGCAAGGCAATGCATATCTATCCTTTTCATTGCATTGGATCCACAGATAGAATTGAACCAAACCAAAGGACAAGGACAGGAATAACTAGGAAAAAGAGGTAAGCAACTGTAAATTAAATATTATTTTTCCTTTTTAAATTCTGGAGGAGGGGGTCAAGGAAGCTGAACTATACTTTAAGATTCTGAATGAGGAAAACATACTGGGAGTGAAGATGCAGCATGAGTCTCTTCTCCTTGATTACTAACACATATATGAATCTACCTAATTATCACCATATAAGCCACAAAACTCAAACTAAAAGAGCAGAAGGGTGACAAAGCTGAAAAGTTTATTTCGCTTGATACAATTAATAAAAATATCATCATGCACAGAGTATTTCTAGGAGATCAATGCATGTAAATTACTTCTATCTTCTTATATCCAAAACAAATGCCTTAATTCAGAAAGCAGCTTAGTATGGATTATAGCCACAGTTATTCATTCGAAGTACAGAGAATCTCCTATATGAGAATTTTCCCAGCACGTGTATTGGAGACATTGATATACCTACACATATTTCAGAGATAAATCAGTCCTAATCTTCCATAAGAAACTGACATTCGACTCACATGCATCCTCTTTTTTGGCTAAGAGAATTTAGACAATCACTCTAGCATGCCATTTACAAAGTCACCAATGGACCTCCCTTATCCTGACTTTTTTTCTTTTCCTCCCATTTAGTTGCTTCTTAATGAAGATGGCTAAAGATGATTCTCGTATACTTGAAAGAGAAAAACATGTCCAAACTCCAACAACCACACTGAACATTTCAACCCATAAAAGAAAAGGAACAAAATCTAAAGCAAAGGAAGTGATGGGCTGCAATTAACAAACCGAGTGTTGCAACCCCTCATAAACGCAATTACACAATCAACAGCATGACACTTAAGTATAGTTCAATTTGTCATTATTCTCAGATAACTTGTGTGGTAGTTTGTCTTCATACGTGAATCAGAGGAAAAACCCCTCCATCTCTCTAGTTGTTACGAGGAATCACAGATGAAATAAGTCATATAGCAAACCTAGAATTGACAATTTGATACAGGAAATCAGGTTGGTTGATTTCATACACTAATACACATCAATGAGACGCTATCTAACTAACCTGTAGAGTAAAGAGCCGATCCTCAAACTGCACTTCCTTTGTCAAGAAATCAGCTCCAATAGTTGCTTTGTACTGATTGCTGAACTTCTTATTTACATATCTATAAAGAATCATTTAAGGCAGACAATAAGGCAATTCAATTATAAGGTATAATTGCATCTGGAAAGTGAATCAAGCTGTTTTTTCACAATACTCTTGGACTGGTGATTAATCGAGCAATACTAGGTTACAAAGCTTAAAAGGATACTGATTCATCAACGAAGTCTTTCCAACCCTGCAAAACACAAAGAGGGGTGATTAATGGGCAAATACTGAAAATTAAGCAACTGCTTGAACTTAGATCACGAAAAGTCAAATAATCAAATCAACAACGCCTCAATTGCCAACTAGTTAGACCCTACTGTATGCAGGAATCGTCTCTAATCATTCTGTTCTATCCCAATCCCAGATCACCGTAATGGAACACTCAAATTCAATTATAAAATCAATCCGTTAACAGGCCAAGCAAAATGAACATGAACAGCGATGAATCATGAGTAACTGAACCCTAAAACAGTACAGAACAGAAGAAAGTTGTACAGTAATATATTTAGTATCTATATTGACAAATACGGTGAGAACTGACCCACTGTCGCCGAGGATGATGACTTTCAAAAGCGTTCGCCGGCGAGAAGGCATCTTATCTGACGAGAAGAGACTGAATACAGAGAGCTCCGCGCGTGTTCGTCTCTCCGTGTGTGGCGTGAGGAGCAGAGACAGTTGGCAATTTGAGACGTTTCTAGTAGAAAAATGATTGCCCAGTTGTTGTATAGTACTCCGTAGTATTGAAATGGATTATACTTGAACTGGGCACTAAACAGTCAACTAACCTTTCTCCGCCTGCCCGGGTCGGGTTGGCCCCAATTTGGTTCTCACTTATCACTATTCGAATTTGGAAATATTATTTTTGTACTGAAGTCACATGTAGGGCCCGTTTGGCCATAGATTTCCCAATAATATTTGGGGGAAAATTTAACAAATAGTGTTTGTCCATACAATTTGTCATTATTTGGCAAATATCCCAAATTCTCAAATACACTAGTATTTGGGCCAAATCTCATTATTTGGGATCTTTTGAAAATTGAAATTTTACACCAAACTTTTATCTTTTACAAAAACACCTTCTATAGTAGTTGTTTGCATTGTATTACATAATTTTTTACGTAAACACCAAAGTAGTGATGAAATATCCAGTGAATATGAAAGTGATTATATGGTTGTTGATGAAAATGATGAACAATCGGCTCATGGTAACAAAGTCATGTGTTTTGTCTACTTCACGATGTATGAAATGATGCTTGTTGCACTCACTTCAAACTGTTACATTGCTCTAGTATCATGGACACTACTTGTTATTTGTTGCAACAAAGATCCAATTGACTTGTAATACAAACTTATGGTTAGTATTGATAGTTTTAAAACTTATGGGTATAAATCATATTTTTCTAAAAAAGTGAAATATATTTCCCAAATACTATGGCCAAACACATGGTGAAATTTCACCCAAATTTTCACCAAAAAAAAATTTGCCAAGAATATTTGGAAATCTATGGCCAAACGCTAGTGTAATTTGGGATCATGATTTCAAATCTCAACTTTTCCAAAAGTATGATTTAAGATTTCAAATAATGATTTCAAAATTTTTAAAAATGTAAAAATTAACTCATAATTTATATTTTGTAAAATCAAAAATAAAAGAAAATCTCATCACTTATTTCTACGAGAAAAAGATTCATGTTTGACATGAAGATAATATTCGTATAATGTAAAAATATTATGTTAAAAATAACTAGTTACTGTTAATATTAACGATTGATCAATTTTTATAAAATTATATATTCTTTTTATTTTTGTATGCTGCAATAAATGTACTCCAGTCTTTCTTCCTTTTTGTTAATAAAAAAATTAAGAAATTAATAGATTTTTTGTAATGGCAACTTCTAAGCCTCCAGCGCTGGATGATAACATTGATAACACATCTTAATTATTATTTTTAAAAATTTTATTCTATGATTAAACGCCTTAGGTAGAATTTATTTTCAGCTTATAAATGTCAAAAATAACCAAACTACTTTGGAATTTCTTTTTATAAATTAATTATGTGGTTGACATTTTACATGAAACAGTAAAGCGTAAGAAATGGAAAAAAACGTCATATGTGTGGTCAAACGTAGAATGGCACACACACAAAATAATTCATACTTCAAAAGCACTAACTAATTGTTTGGGTAAATTGCTGACATCAAACTAGATTAATCAAATTATATAATAAAAAAAGTGAAAACATAATTATTCGTTTAATTTGACAAATAAAATGTTTAGAAAAAACTATTTAAATCATATACAAGTTTTTCTCCATAAATTCAGTCCTTTAATTTATTAGGAGTAATAAAATAAGCATTAACTAAATGTAGTGATTTTTCTTTAAATGTAGTGATTAGTTCCCTTATTTTAGGAGGAGTATGAGGATGAAAAAACATCTCTTAATTTCATGGTAAATTTTATTATTATGCAACATGTTTTTACTTTTCTTTCTTTGAGATTCCTCACTGCCTTTCTCCTAAAGGTATCATATTTCTTTTCTCCTGAGTTTGTATTTTCATCTTTACAGTTTCATCTTTTTAATATTTATTTTTCTAAGATTAATGCTTCTGATATCATTTACGAAATAATTATATGAAGTATTGATTCCGTATGGTAATAATTTTCTCTTCGTTATGAAATAAATGATAATGTTTCAATAATGAGATCATTGATTGTGATTTAGTTTCATGTTTTCTTGTTATTTTATTGCATATTTTTTGTGAATTTTCGGATAGGAAAAGTAAAATTTGTTTGGATCTTTAATGAACAGGAATCAATACTTGGGAGATCGGCGGAACCTGCGTAACTTATTCTAACGCAGATCGTGACAAAGACTTTTATAAAAATGTCTTCGTCATCGAATGGGGACTCTCCATCATCAAATTCATCATCATCTCCACCAAATAATTCAAATAACAATTCATCATCTGGAAAAGATAATAGCTCTTCTTCTAATGGTAATAGTAATAATAGTAATAATAATAATAGTAACAACAATAACAATAATTCAAACTCTCAATCTCCCCCTTCTAACAACGATTCATCCTCTGGAAAAGATAATAGCTCCTCTTCTTCAAATAATAACAATAACAACAACAACAATAATAACAATAACAATAATAATTCAAACTCTCAATCTTCTCCTTCTAATAACAATAATTCGTCATCTGGAAAAGATAATAACTCTTCTTCAAATGATAACAACAACAATGGTAATAACAACAACAGTAACAACGACAACGACAACGACGATGACAACAACAGTAATAATAACAATAACAACGATAACAAGTCACGTTCTCCACCAAAATCATCAGACTCATCAAAAGGAGGATCATCTCCTCCTCCTCCTCCTCCTCCTCCTCCTCCGCCTCCTCCATTTTCTCCACCATCACATTTTTCTCCAAACTCTAGACCTCTTGCCCCTCCAAAGCCTCAATCAGCAAAGTCAGACAGTAAGGATAACAAAGCAGCACTCAGGATCGGAGTCGCAGCTGGAGCAGGATTATTATTTCTTGTCATGCTAGTTTTCCTCATCTCTTGTTGTAAGCGGAAAAAGAAAAGAAAGCATGATCAAATGGGCTACTACAGAGACAATTCTCATGGAGCCATGAGTATACTTCTTATCTTTATTTTCTTATTTTATCATATGCTTTAATTTTGACATAATATACCTATTTGGTTTATAGGCATGTCCATCCACAATATAATGTCACCCTTGATTAGACAATCACTCTTTTGAGAAAGCTTGTGTTACAATATCATTTTGAGATGACTCAGTTGGTTTGGAGGGTGATTGATCCCCTCAATGCCTTCTGAGTCGAGCCTATAACATAAGGCTTGCCTAGTGCGTGGCAAGAGGTGGTAGGGATATTTTTGCTAATTCATTTTCCCTCTATTCTAACCTGCATTATGTAATATACAGATAATCATTACTATAGCAACACTGGACAACATACCAACAATTGGCAGACTAACAACAAACTTCAATCAACTGACCAATTTCACAAGATGCCTCCTCCAGGTACGCAATCATGTTTATACGTATATATTAAATTTTTAACATCCTTAATAAAATTCATCTTATTTGGCGATTGGCAGGGAGTGGTCAAGTAAGTTCAGAGCATAGTTGGCCAATAGCACCACCACCACCACCACCGATGATGAGTAGTAGTGAAATGAGCTCGGCGGCTTTCTCTGGTCCACATCAACCTGCTCAACCACCTCCACATCCAGCAATGGCTCTTGGTTATAATCAAAGTAGTTTCACTTATGATGACTTAGCAGTTGCAACTGGAGGATTTACTAAAGACAAACTATTGGGACAAGGTGGTTTTGGATATGTACATAAAGGAGTGTTGCCTAATGGTAAAGAAATTGCTGTAAAAAGTTTGAAATCTAATAGTGGACAAGGAGAAAGAGAGTTTCAAGCAGAAGTTGAAATTATTAGTCGTGTACATCATCGACATCTTGTGTCTTTGGTTGGGTATTGCATTGCTGGATCTCAAAGGATGTTGGTCTATGAATTTGTTGCTAATAGCACTCTTGAAGATCACCTTCATGGTATGTATATATTTTATTTTCAAACATGTTACTCACTCTGTTTTAATATGTTTGTCATCCCTTAAAAAAAGTTTGTTTATTTCCTTCTTTTTTTTTTTTAAAGACCACAAGATTTAAAGTCATTTTGATTAGCGTGATAATTGGGCGGGTTGAGTTAAAACAGATTAAGACAACAAACCAAAATTAGCTTGAGTCAAAACGGATCATAACCCAATACGTCCAATTTTTACCAAGTTTTATTTATTATTTAAAAGATTTTAGTACCTAATAAATTTTATTATTATTATTATGGGTTTATATATCATATCAAATTAAAAAAATAAAAAATAAAAAAATAATATATATATATATATATATTATCATTATACTTAGCATTTTTTGAAAAATAACTTTTGTTATTTGGTGTTTGGAGTTTATCTCATATTTTGTTTGTTGAATTCATTTAGGATCTGGTCGTCCTCCTATGGATTTCAATACAAGACACAGAATTGCATTAGGAGCTGCCAAAGGTTTTGCTTATCTTCATGAAGATTGTAAGTTTTGAATTTCTTTTATTGCTTTTTTTTTTTCACTATTTGACTTATATTATATACGTGTATTTTCATATCTAAGTTTTTTTGTTCTTATTTTGTATAAATTATAGGTCACCCTAAAATTATCCATAGAGACATCAAAGCTGCAAATATCCTATTGGACGAAAATTTTGAAGCAAAGGTATTTCTATGTTATAAAAATACCAATTATATGAGGAATTTTAATTTCACTTAGATACAGAAAAACTCAATATCTTGATTCTTTCAATATTTTTATTAGGTGGCTGATTTTGGACTAGCTAAGCTCTCATCTGACAACCATACTCATGTATCCACCCGTATCATGGGAACTTTTGGGTGAGCATATTTTAAAATATTTTTAAAAAATAGCATCTTTAATTTATTTTATTTTGCTATGTTAGCGTTTATAAAATCTTTGAGTTGGTTTCTATTAATTGAGTGATCATATTATAAATCAACCACAAGATCTCCGTTCCAGTTTTATCTTCTACTGTTTTAATGCTAGTATTTTCTTGAAATGTGTACCTAATTTTTTTAAAATTTTGAAAGTAATGTATTACGTTCAATTAGAATGAAATAATTGAAGTGTAATTATTTGTATGTATTGCTTAATAGGTACTTAGCACCAGAGTATGCTTCAAGCGGAAAGCTAACTGAAAAGTCTGATGTTTATTCATACGGAGTTATGCTTTTGGAACTTATAACTGGACGTCGTCCAATTGACATGGATGGTGACGACGATACTTTAGTTGAATGGGTATGTACCCCTCCGTTTTAATTTATTCAATTTTTCACGTGACATGTTTTAATTTATGCTACCGGTTTATATGCAGGCAAGACCTATTTTAATTCGTGCAACAGAAGGCGGAAATTATGATGAATTAATAGATCCACGCTTAGAGGGAAACTTTGATGCCCAACAAATGTTATGTATGGTGGCATGTGCTGCTGCAACAATCAGACATTCTGCAAAAAGACGTCCAAAAATGAGCCAGGTTAGTTATCTCTTGATTTTTCTTAACCTATACTATATTTTTTTTGGTGAGTAAATTTGAAGTAATGTTTTATTTTGGTGCAAATTTTCTTAGTTGTTTTTATTGTGATTATATTACTATATTTTCCTTTGAAATATAAATAGGTAATCTAATAATATCGTTGAAAAATACTAATCAATGAATCACTTTACATATTATTAGGTTGTACGTGCTTTAGAAGATGATGTTACCTTGGACGATTTGAATGAGGGAGGAAAATTGGGTCACAGTGCAACTCTCAGTTCTGGAAGTTCTGAACCAGATGGAGGTTCATATGATTTAAAGAAATTCAGAAAATCCAGCATGTCGAGTCAAGAATACTCAAGCAGTGAGAACGGTGAATCTCGTGAATTTCGTCAAAACAAGAAGTAAACAATATAGCCCTTAATCAAAATTATTGCTCTTGACAGAAAAAAGGGTGGTTACTTCAATTCTCCATATAATTATAAATTGTATTTATTTATGTATAATTATTAAATTGTAGATACAACACACAATCATTGACCAATTGAACTTAATCGCAATTCGCAAAGATGCTTTAGGTACTTAAGTTTGGTCTCTTGGTGGAATAATAATATTCTTCTATCATGAAACTTAGGTGATTGCAATTTTATGTTTGAATTCTTCATGAGTTAGTCATCAAATTTTGTTAAAATTGGAGAAATAATTGATGTGCATTTAGTTCGCACAATACAAATTCGTTGGTGTTATATTGTTTAATTCGCTTTTTTTAGATGTGTAATTGATATTTTCTAGGCAAGCATCAACCCCTATTGTTCATATAGTCTCATTGTTTGCCATGAATGAAGATAATTTAATTCAAATCTCAAGTCATTAAGTCTGTTTGATTTTTAGATATGAATCTTATTATTCATACAATATTTCATTAAGCGTGTAATTTGTTTTAAAAAATTTACAACCATTTAATGGGTATGAATAGATTCAAATGATTAAAATCCATATAACAAAGTCTTAATATCATTAAAATGTTTATTCAAGGGTTTTCTAAAACATGGTAGTTCACCATAACTCCATTCACTTTCATTAACCATCACCTATCATCCACAACCACCATCGATGTCATAAACCCAATCAATCATCACCATTCACCACCATTAGCCATCATTTACAATCATTGCCACCAACCACCATTACAATTCACTATTACAACTATCAACCACCACTATATAACGTCATCCGCTTTCATCATTCACCAACGCTATTAACTATCACTATCATCCACCACAATTACTTAACAGTACCAATTACCACGATCAACAACCACTATTAATTACTAATATCAACCATATCATCACTAGCTACTATCAACAACCACCACCATCACCCAATTCAATCCTCATTTGACACCCATCACACACACACACACATACACACACACACACACACATATATATATATATATATATAATTAATTTATTTAAGTATAATTCTTAAATAAAGATAAGTTTGATTATTAAGATGTTGAGCAAATAATAATATAAGTTATTTAGTATTCAAATCTTAATACAATATCTTAATATTTAAATGTGTGTTTAAATTCAGACATATTAATCTTAATAAAAACAAATGATGACAATTGTTTTAGACTTTTCATCAATATGAACACGACTATCCGAGCCCAGATCTCTATGGAAATATATTAGTACATACTTAAGATGATGTGCATTTTAATTAAATTTTCGACGAACTTAGAATATATAACTAATCTTGTTAATTATAACGAAAAAAGATAATTCCTTAAATGTGTAGATATTCACTTTCAAATACTATCTATCATCTTTTCAAAGTTTAAAAATACTCATTGTGTCTAATTTCAATCATATTTATTGTCAAACGATTCCAAAAAAATAATAATTTACAAACAACTAGGGAAGTAACATGAAATTTTTTTGTTCTCATACATCAATTTCATTCTAATAGTAAATAGAATTTGTAGAAGGTGTTATCCAAGCATAATCTTTCATGGTTGAGAATTTATTCTTTGCTACTTATATAACTTTTTGAAGTTCAAGTACCTTCAAAGTACACATTTCAAATTTATTTGGTCATATATATATTCTTTGGTGAGAGATTGTAAGAATTTGTTTGGCTATAAACTATTTTTTTTTTTAAAAAAGATTTCATAATACTATTGATTATATATATCAAAATGAATTTTAATTTGTTTGAAGATGAGTTTTCAAACTTGAAAAACTTACAAAAAATTTAACTTATCAGTTATCATAATGAAATTTTAACTTAAAAAAAATATTACTCATATTTTAAAGATATTGGACCATTTTCCGTATATTATAAGTTACTCCTTTTTTCCTTTTTTTTTTCAGCGAACGAAGGAAATTTATTTCATGGTATGTCGTGTACACATCCCATTGGTTACTGGCCTCCGTTTTCTTCAACTGTAAATGTAAAATAGTCTTCGGGTAAACCGGATCCGGTTTAATATTTCACCCTTATAAGTTATAATCCTCTTCACTGAACTTGTACGTCCGAAGGGAGATCGAGAGATCTGTAATTCGATTCGCTGCTACCCAATATAAATATATTCAATCACTTTGTGTTCTTCATTCACCGAACCGATCCCACCTTTTTCCGATTACTATCCGATCCGACTCGGTTACACTTCTATTTATCTGTATCCTTACAGATCTCAGCTGTCGTCTCAGAAATGGCTCAGCCTTTGGTGAAGAAGGACGACGATCGCGATGACGAAAGTACGTTTTTTATTTGAATTTTAGCACAAGCTTTTGTTTCATTCCTCATGTTAATTTGTCGGTGGTTTTGCATTTAATTGATTGGATTGTTGCTTTCGCTTGTGATTTTCGATTGAGGCTGAGTACAGATCTGCATTGTGGATTAGATTCTTCGTTGATTGTTTTTGTGTTCAAGTGAATCTGGACGATAGTGAGTCTGATTACAGTGGAATACTTGTGAAACAGCTTTTGTTACTTGCTATTTTTTCTCATTTCCTTCTGACAGCTATTCTCAATGCTGCAAATACGTAATTCAGTGATAAATATCTATACGGTATATTTAAATTTTAGGATCCAAAAGAGGTGCGGTATGTGTGTGCTTGAATGATGTTGGGGGAGTTAGTTTGCTCAGATTATACTGTGTAGTTTTACACTGTAGAATAGTCGTTTTCTGCTCAGATCTATCTAAAGTAGGATTTAATATGTGTTTGAGTGATGAATTGACATTTTCATGTTGGATTTCTATGACAATACAGTGGACTATTCCCCGTTTATGGGGATTGAGAAGGGTGCTGTTCTTCAGGAAGCTAGGGTTTTCAATGATCCTCAATTGGATGCAAGAAGATGCTCTCAGGTATGGTGTTCTATTTTTTTGAAATAAAAAATGCTGTGCAAAAGTAAATTAACTCTCATTCTGTTTTGGTGGCATGTCATGCTGGTTAGACTAATTTGTTCGTCTTGCCTTTATTTTCCGGTTCTTCAGGTCATTACAAAGCTTTTGTATCTTCTGAATCAGGGCGAGGCGTTTACAAAGGTTAGCTCTAGAGCTATTAGTTTTGGCAGTAAAACATGTATTCCTTTATTTTTTTGGCACGACTGTACAATGACATTTTACAAATTAAATGCCCCAAACTGTGGAATCAACCATGAATGCTTGTGTTAGGGTAGGCTGCCTACACCACATGAAATCCTGCATGAACGCAGTGTGCTTCGTACACCAGGCTGCCATTTAAATGCCCCAAACCACCATTTAAAGAGTATAGAGAAACGTTGAAGAAATAGAGAGATGTGTGACGTTGGCTATCATAATAATGCAACTGTATTTTATGAGAAAATGTATAAAGGTTCTGAATTTTCATTTGCGGGGATAATACTTGATTGTGAGTAACTCCTCCATATGCGTATTCTGTTGTTCTTGCACGATGAAGGTTATTTTTTTTTCATGAATTCTACTTCACTTTGCACCTCAGAAAACAATTTTTTTATCCGGATTTTTGTGTCCCTACATAGAATTGGTATTAGCTGATCATGTCTTGTTATCTGGAGGTTATATCACATGTGTTTTACCTAGTCAAAAAATAAAATAAGGAAGTGGATAATATCACATGCTATTGCATGTCTGCTTGAAGTGAAGGATAATTTTCAATAATGCATTACGTATAGTGTGTCAGTATGATATGTTTTTTCATGTTAATGATTAATGATCTCGGAAGCATCTCAATGCTGCTATTCAGACACTAGTCTGATATGGTCGTGAATTATTTTCACATTATGCAATGATCAGCAGTTACAATTTTGGAATTTATGTATCTGGCTAGTCATATGGGAAAATTGCGTACATCTTTAAACTAAAGTTGATTAGCCAAATTGATCAAACGTAGTCAAACAACAGACCAATATGTGCAATGGATCAAAGAGAATTTCCCTTCCTTGAAGTGTTTCTCCTTTCTTTACTTCATCTCGGTGCCCCAATTTAGAACCATACCATTTCTTTGCTCTACAATGTTTCCTTTTTAATATCCCTGGTGCCATTTGCTAGTGTTGTAAATTCTTGTTTTAGCCCACATAGATTTTCTGTCACGTCCATGATATGGATCTTTGAAAAGAGGCTCTTCTTATTGCCATTTTGAATTTGCAAACTGAAGCAAACTAAATATTTCTGTCTTTTCTATAATTGAGAATTCTTAGTCCTTCCCCCTTAGGACATAAAGGGGAAGTAGCGAGATTACAACCTCCTTCGTGGGAAATCCACGTAAGCAGTCGCTCCATCTTATCTCTTTATGTCACTTTGATGACATTCTCTCTCTCTCTCTCTTCCTGTGAGACTGCCACTTAAGTTGTTTTAATTTGTAGGTTGAGGCTACAGAAGTATTCTTTTCTGTCACAAAACTCTTTCAGTCAAAGGATATTGGTCTCAGGAGAATGGTGTATCTGATAATTAAAGAGCTTTCTCCCTCCGCAGACGAGGTTAGATACCTAATTTCTTCTTTTTTTCTTTTAAGGTTACACTCCTCCTATGAATGAAATTGACATGTGGTTTCATTGCCTCCAAAAGGTTATCATTGTTACGAGCTCTCTTATGAAAGACATGAATAGCAGAACTGATATGTATCGGGCAAATGCTATTCGTGTCCTTTGTAGAATCACGGATGGGACACTTCTCACTCAAATAGAGAGATACTTGAAACAAGCCATTGTTGACAAAAACCCTGTTGTTGCAAGTGCTGCCCTTGTGAGTGGAATCCATTTGCTTCAGGTAAGGTTTCAAGAACCCTTTTTCATTTTTTGCTCGGTTGGTGGAATCTTCCTAACTCTCCTTGGCCTATGTTTCTTTTCACAGACAAACCCAGAAATCGTGAAAAGATGGAGCAATGAGGTACAAGA